AGAAATCAGTGAAGGTTTCTTTTGGACCCTGTATGACTTTAGTAATAGTGAAATGACTCAGTCTTCTTTTGTACTTCAGTTCTGTCCCAAGCATTTAAAGATGCTTCATGGTATAAAGCCAGGATGTGGCCATCATATAGGTATTGTCTTTCTATATCAGCATTAGCTTCTCCAAGAAGTTGACCCTGGAAGATTTCGATTGCTCTAGCTTTACTCCATTGTTCAATGGTCTTAGCTTCTTTGAACCAGGTCCTCTATTGTAACTGTGGACCAAGCTCCAAGACTGCTGTAACTAATCTAACCAGTCTTTAGGGATAATCCCATTGCAAGTTGATCACGAGTTTAACATTTGCTCTACAAATAGTGAATGCATGCCATCTGAGTCAATTACTTCTGTTAATCTCTTTAAATTTATCAAGGCCACAGGAGTCCATTCAGTTCTTACAGAGCCTCTGTCAACTGTCTATTCCTGTAAGGTTACTGGATATATTAAGGCTCATTGTTTGAAAACCTTAGACTGTTCCTCTCTAACTTTATTTTGCAATGCTGTGTAGTAATAAGGGCGGTGGGGCTGCGTTCCCAGCACCCCGGCCGCCTGCTCGGCTAGCTTATGCCCAAAATAACAACACACAAACTGTATTCATTTAAACACTGCTTGGCCCATTCTCTTCTAGGCTAATTCTCACATATTAATTTAGCCCTTTTCTAATCATCTGTGTTGCGCCCCTACGTGCGCTTACTGGGGAGATTCTAGCCTATGTTCATCCTGGGTCGGAGCTTCATGGCATGTGTCTGCCCAGGAGTGGGGCATGGCGTCTCTCTGAGGTGTCTGCTTCCGAGAGGAGAGCTGTGGAGTCTCTGAGCTCACTTTCTCTTCCTCCCAGTATCCTGTTCTGTTTACTCCACCCACCTATCTTCTAACCAATAAAATGGGCCAAGGCAGTTCCTTTATTAGCCAATGACCTTCCTCCATCAATGCTGAAATACTTTCTTTAAATTCTTCTGTCTAGATTTGAATATCTCTATGATCTGTTTTATTAAACCCTTGGCCCTCATACCAAACAACTTTTTAAGAGATTAAACCATAAATTATCAAAACAAGAATTACCAAAATGATAATTAAAAGTATGTCAATCCGGGTTGATTATCCTTTCATTTAATTGTTCCATTTTTAAATCATACATCACATAATCATACAAATACCTAACTTTCTCTACCATAATTGTTTTTCCCATTTTTTATTGTGGGGAAAAGACTCGTTTAATACCTCCCTTTAAGAATTCCCAATTTTCAGGGCTGGAGAGATGGCTCAGCGGTTAAGAGCATTGCCTGCTCTTCCAAAGGTCCTGAGTTCAATTCCCAGCAACCACATGGTGGCTCACAACCATCTGTAATGAGGTCTGGTGCCCTCTTCTGGCCTGCAGTAATACATGCAGACAGAATATTGTATACATAGTAAATAAATAAATAAATATTTAAAAAAAAAAGAATTCCCAATTTTCTCACCAAATCTGTTGCTGATGACAATGAAGATGTGAGGCTGACTGCTACTGTGTAGAGTAGTAAAAACCTGACTAGATTTCAAGGCAGCAATCTAGTCTGGCATTACTCCAAGAAGGGGGTTCAGAGAAAGCCCTCTAGGAGAGAAGAAAGGAAAACCTGGCTGACAAGGCAGTTACTCAAGCTGTGTGTAGGTCTGGCCTATGCTGTTGCATGCAAAGCCACAAACAATTTTTTTTTCATAGATTGTACCCAAAATACTGGGTGCCTGATGTAACACGAATTCTAATTGGTATTAATAAGAACCAATGCCAGGTGGTGGTGGCGCAGGCCTTTAATCCCAGCACTTGGGAGGCAGAGGCAGGCAGATCTCAGAGTTTGAAGCCAGCTAGGTCAAAGTGAGTTCCAGGACAGCCAGGACTGTTACACAGAGAAACCTTGTCTCGAAAAAAATCAAAAAATAAATAAATGTTTATTTACTTATATAAAATAATAAGAACCCAGAGACAGATATAGGCATTAATGCTGAAGGTCGTAGAAGCAGAGTGACCAGTTACTTGAGTTCTTTTACCTCTACCAATGTTCAGACCAATGGGGTGATCCTGTCTGAAGATGGTGAATGCCATCTTCAGAATCCATCCGTCTCCACCAAACCTCAGACTGAGCTCCTGTCTCCTTCTGACTTATATTTCTCTCCCCACACAGCCATATCCCTTCCTGTCTCTGGTGTGGGACTCCATTGTAGTAAGATTAAAGGTGTAAGCCACTACCACTTGGTCTCTAGTGGCTTAGTTCTGCCTGTCAGGCAAGCTTTATTTGTTAAAGCACAATAAAAGTATCACTATAGTCTTCTGCCTAGGACTTAATGGCAGGGAGGCCCCAGATGCACCCCAAACAAAAGAGGTCATTGCCAGTGCTCTTGGTTAGACACCCTAAGTACATGATGTTGCTAAAGACATCAAACATCTTGGTTGCAAGATAGAAAGACAGCAATCTTGAACATACTGGGAAACTTTCCTTCCTGGTTACCTTTCATAGACTGCTGACCAAGAAATGATGTCAATGGTCTTAGTTACCCCTGGATTCTGCATCTTACAATAAAAACCTACTAGGCAAGATTTGTGCACTTGTACAATACTAGAATGACTGCTTATGGTCATAACCAACCACTCTCTTGATTGGTTTTGAATCCTGTTTTATAGAGAGGAACTCATGCCATACTCATAAACCAAGGCTTGAGGAATATAGTCCAAGGATAGAACCTATTGATTTTTCATTAATGACCAAGTTGTTAATCTTCCAACTATGTATTTGTTTATAAGTATCACTTTGTTCTACTCTCAACCCTGATGAAATAAGTCTTCTCTCAGTTGATGGTGGGTAATAAAGAGACTCGTAACTGTTCTGAAAGTACTATGAAAAAGTAACTGTAATATTGGCACAAATAAAATTTCATTGTGGCTGAGGGAGGGTCCCATGAGTCTACTTTATCTCTATGAGGGTCTACTGGTAGTTAATGGTGGTTATATCATTTTATTTTATAGTGTGGAGTAAATACTTAGACATTTTTCTTCAGTAGTTTGGTATGGGAAGTCCTTCTGTATACATATTGCTTTTATTGAATAATGAATAAAGAAGCTGCTTTGGGCCTATAGCAGGACAGAACAGAGCTAGGGCGGAGAAAACTGAATTCTGGGAGAAAGGCAAAGTCAGGAGAAGCCATGTAGTCATCACTAAGGACAGATGCACTGGAAACTTGCCAGTAAGCCACAGCCACGTGGCGATACACAGGTGAGTAGAAATGAGTTAATTCAAGATGTAAGAGTTATCTAGAAATATGCTTAAGTTATTAGCCAAACAGTATTGCAAATAATATAGTTTCTGAGCGATTATTGCGGAACTGAGAGTGACAGAAACCTCTTCCAACAAATTGGCGCCCAACGTTGTTGTCTGAGGTTTTCTGTTCTGCCCAGTTCCCGCAGTCCTTAAGTCTCAAAGAAATTATACAGAGGTCTACATTAGTTATAAACAGATTGGCCTAGTAGTTCAGATTTCTTATTAATTCTTAAAACTTATATTAGCCCATTATTCTTGTCTATGTTAGCCATGTAGCTTGGTACGTTATTCTGTAAGGCAGTCACATCCTGCTTCTTCTGTGGCTGGGTCACGACTCCAGACAGAACTTTCCTCTTCCTAGAATTCTCGTTGCCCCACCTCTACTTCCTGCCTAGCTACTAGTCAATTAGCATTTATTTAAAATATAAGTGACAGGGTACAAACCATTTTCCCACAGAACAACATGGGACCCAAACCCATGACCCTGAAATTAAGAGTCTCATGCTCTACCAACAGTAGTTCAAAATGAATTTTTGATCCTTAGGGATCTTGTTTAGTTTTCTTTTGCCGAACTGAGTTTCTCTGTATAGCCCTGGCTGTTCTGAAATCTCCACCATAGCCCAGGTTGTGCTCACTGAGATCCACCCACCTTTGCCTCCTGAGTACTGGAAATTAAAGGCATGCATCACCAAGCTCAGAGTGCGTGAGGATTCTGTTTGTGATAAACTCATGTTGTCTCATGTACAGCTCATCTCTTTACAGCTTTTCACCTTCATTATACTATAAGTTTTAACCCTATTAAAGATTTTGAAAGTGAACAAAAGATAAGTATCTACTAGAACATTTCCTTGTGCTTTATCTCATACTATATTTGTTTTTATTTTGGCAATTTTAGCATTAGGTCAAGAATTTGTCAAGTTCAATGTGTATGGTGGGTGTGATTTCTAGTGAACCGAAATATATGGGAATTACATATGACATGCTTTTATATGCTTTCTCAGAATTATGAATTTTGTGAGGTACAGTTCAGAGATCTTTGTCACATATTTTTACTACCATTTACTTGAGAGGGTATATGTACTTATCAGTTCTGGCGCTAACTACATAGGCCAGGATAGTCTCAGACTAGGTGTCTTCTTGCCTCTGCCTCCTGAGTGCTAGGATTAATGGCATGCACTACTTAGTCTACCATTATTATGAATTCTTGAATGTTGAACAAGATGAACAGTTTTTAGGTCATCTTACTTGGTTTTCGGAACAGGAATTCATTACGTAACAGTCTTGGCTATCCTGTAACTATCTGTGTAGACTAGGATGGCCTCAAACTCACATGTATTCACCTGCCTCTGCCTCCCCAGTGCTGGGATTAAAGGGAGGTGGCATCAGCATTGCCCCACTAAGCTAAATGATTTTATTACAGCTTTCCCAGGGGTCAGAGACATCAATTAGTAGGTAAGAGCACTGGTTCCTCTTTCAAAGGACCAGGATTCAATACCCAGCACACACACATGAACGAACAACTGTCTGGAAGTTCAGTTTTAGAGAATCTCATGCACTCTACTGGCATTCACCGACACCAGGCAAACATGTAGTGCACAGAAAGTGTTGTAGGCAAACAACCCAGAGACATTTTAAAAAAATTCACACAGCTAGTAGTACACAATTTTATTTTAATATAAACTCTGTCATATTTTTTAAGATTTAAATCTTCTTTAAAGGCTTTTACAAGTTTTTTATATTTATGCTTCTATTGTGTATGATGTTGGGGTTTATAAGCAGAGAATAATGAGAAATGCTACGTCACATCATGAGAACGGTATTTTTCTCTCCAGTGTGAACTCTCTGATGTCTTCTAAGACTTGAAAGATAGATATAAGACATGTCACAGTCTTCGCATTTATGAAGATTTTCTCCAGTATGAATTTTCTGATGTGCTCTGAGGTAGGAGAACCTAGTAAAAGATTTGTCACATTCCTTACAACTGTAAGGTCTCTCTCCAGTATGAACTCTCTGATGTGTTCTGAGATTTGACATGTGGCTAAATGATCTGTCACATTCCACACATTTGTAAGGTTTTTCTCCAGTATGAAGTTTCTCATGTCTTCTAAGATTTGATATCTGACTAAAGGACATGTCACAGTCTTTGCATTTGTAAGGTTTCTCTCCAGTATGAATTTTCTGATGTATTTTAAGACTAGAAATCCGGAGAAAGGACATATCACAATCTTTGCATTTGTAAGGTTTATCTCCAGTATGCATTTTCTGATGGGCTCTAAGATATGAGCATGTAGTAAAAGGTTTGGCACATTCCTCACAACTGTAAGGTCGCTCTCCAGTGTGGACTCTCTGATGTGTTCTAAGATATGAGTTATGGGTAAAGGATTTGTCACATTCCCTACATTTGTAAAGTTTCTCTCCAGTATGAATTTTTTGATGTGCTCTAAGAGTTGAAAACTCAGGAAAAGATTTGTCACATTCCTTACATCTGTAAGGTCTCTCTCCAGTGTGAACACTCTGATGTCTTCTAAGATGTGAGCACTTGATAAAGGATTTGTCACATTCCATACATTTGTAAGGTTTCTCTCCAGTATGAATTTTCTGATGTGTTTTAAGGGTTGAGTTCACAGTAAAGGATTTGTCACATATGTCACATTTATAAGGCTTCTCACCAGTATGGATTCTGTGATGCCTTTTGAGATGTGATAATTCAAGAAAGGACTTATCACACTCTTTACATTTGTAAAATATCTCTAAAGAATGAGTTTTCTGATGCCATCTAAGAGATGCATAGTGTGTAAATGCTCTGTCACACTCGTTGCATTTGTAAGGCTTCTCTCCAGTATGCAGTCTATAATGTCTTCTAAAGTGTGAAAGTTGATGAAAGACCTTGCCACATTCTTGACAACTACAATGTTCCTCAGCAGTATGGATTTTCTGATGTGTCCTGAAACCGGAAAGGTGGGCAAAGGATTTGTCACATTCCTTACATTTATAAGGCTTCTCTCCTGTATGTATTTTTAGATGGCTTTTAAGAGCTGCAGACTGTCGAAATGACTTTCCACATTCTTTGCATTTGTAAGGTTTTTCTCCAGTATGAAGTCTTTGATGTATTCTAAGATTTGCACACTGGTTATAGGATTTGCCACAAAAGTTGCATTTGTAGGGTTTATTTCCATTATGAATTCTCTGATGTACAGTGAGACTTGAGGCAGTACTGAAACATTTCTTGCATTTCCCACACTGGTATGGTTTCTCTTTAATGCAGATTGGTTGTTGCAAAAGACTGTATGTAGAGTCAAAACAGTTATCATATTCTCCCTGCCTTTGCTCTTTATTTGCAGTGTAGAGTCTCTGATCTTTATTAATGCTGGAACACAAATTTAAAGATTTCTCACAGTCCTTAGGTTTGCAAGGTTCTTCTCCAGTGTGCATGCTGTCATGTCTATATGGGTTTGATGAGTCAAAAGAAGCATCCCCGTGATTACTGCACCTGTAGTTGTTAGAGTTTTCTGTAGTTTCACTTGTTCTATAAAGTGCACATGTGGACGGGTCATGAAGCACTTTGCCAAGCTCATCACACTGACAACACTCCTTTTCAGTCTTCACTTGTTGATGGACAGGATCACATTTACAATAGTTCTCTGAAAATGAGTAAAATTTAGAATAATAGAGTTTGGTTCAAGATTAAACATTTCATTAATGACTGTCACTTTAAGATGTCTCTTAAGGTAAGTCTACCAGGAACTAGACATTTTTTTTACTGTAATTTTACGTATTCTCACAAAAACAGCCTAACAGCCTTCAAGTGTCTGTGATTAATAATAGATATCTCATCTTTACAAAAAATGTCTAACAGCACAGGACAGATCATATAATTGAGGAATCAGCTTTGGTATACAGATCACTGACTAATTATATCTAGAAACATGCATCTATGTTTAAATATTTCTTCTCAAAAATTGAGAAACAGGAGCTTAATTCAATCCCAGGTTCACATTATTTACACTTACTAGTGATAGTTCATGCAGAATACTGTTCAGGAGACCCAATTCCTTTAAGGATTAAAGTCTAATTTAAAAGCATCACAGGGTTTATTTCTTTCTCTAGAAAAACACATTAGATTTTTCAAAGGTAATAAATGCATCCAGGTGGTGGCGATGCGCACTTTTAATCCCAGCGAGGATCTATCTCTGTGAGTTCGAGGCCAGCCTGATCTACAGAGCAAGTTCCTCCAAAACTACACAGAGAAACCCTGTCTTGAAAAAATGGGGCGGGGGAGGGAGGAGGAAAAGAAAATAATAATAATGGTTGTAAAGACAGCGTTCTGCCAGACATCAGAGGCTCTAGATTATTTGAGGCAGGGCTGTCATGGGCAGCCATTGCTAATTTCTATCCTTCACTGTCTGAGCTTACACACACTGCTGTGTTTCTTAATTTTCCTGATAGGGTTATTCTCAAGTCTACTCTGTACACCGATTCCTGAGAGTATTTCCCAGAACGGGGTTTGTGTGTTCTCTACTGAAAAGAAAATGAATATTTTAATATGAAGACACAACAGCAAGAAAGGCAATTGCAGAATAATCCTAATCCATGGACATTCACATCCAACTCAAAATTTGGAAAATTATTTCACTCTCATTTCAGCAGAGTGAAAGAAAACGTCATCTTGTACTAATTATTAAGTCATCATAATTCAGGTGCAATAGACACAGCGGCTTCTAACAGAAATTAGAACGGACAGAATGCATCCTGGAGCCAGAAGACTACACTATGTTAAATGATCAAGAGTCTGTTCTAGTGGAATTGAATTTCAGTTCTTCTTTTCTCTTTAACTGGAAGCCATGATTCTTGCCCTGTTCATTCACTAGCCCACCCTCGTTATGACTACTCTCTTCTCTTGACATTCCAGGGCAATCTCATTTTCTCTGTACAGGTGACCAGGCTTGCCTTGCATGCAATAATCCAAATGTCCTGTGAGATAACTCATGACCCATGCTAGAATTTTAGAAAGACTACAGACATCTAACATAGTATTCTGCTCCTTACATGAAGAGAACACATAGTAGGTGAATACAGGAATGACTTCCAACTGCTATTTTCTGTCACAATCTTCAGCATAGTTAGGGAGAATTTTCAGTTTCCATACCTTGAATTTCTTCTCAGAATTCAAAATCATGGCAGTACAATCATGGACATGGAGTTCTAATTTATGGGTAAAAATACTATACGATACTAAGTTTCTGGAACCAAAATGAGGGGTGCATGATACCGCTATCATGGAAAATGAAAAGAAAAATGTAAATTCCATGAAAAAGTTATTTTCTCCTACCAGTCTTTCAATAGTCTCCTATTGTTTCCATGGCAGCTTAATGGAGTTTATAACCTATGAAGTCAGTATATACAAATGATGAGATAGGAATTCTAGAAGCAAAATGATCTCACCCACAGAGACCAGGTTGCTGTAATTCTCCAACATCACATCAATGTACAAAGCCCTCTGAGCAGAGTTCAGGCATTCCCACTCCTCCTGAGGGAAGTCCACAGTCACATCCCTGAAAGTCAACAGACCCTGAAACAAAAAGTACAGTTTGAGCAGGTGATCCTTGACAGAGTGCTTTCCTAGATTTGAGGAGTCTTGTGGAAATATAGATGAGTGAAGACAATTAGTCAACCAAAAATGATTTCTAATATAGTCACCTTGTAAAATAAATTTCTTAACTCTGTGAATATAGAATGAAACAATAGTATCACATGCATATACACAAAACAACAGGTATTTAAGGTATGGACATGGTTATTTATCTTTTATGGATGCTGTGTTTATATCCTACAGGATCAGAGTGTACATGTGTCAGAAGGAAAATGGTGATGAGGAAATGTGCTTTAAATGTTATACCTGAGGATCACAGTAAAATATTGATAGTGAATCAATTCTGTGAACTCTATATTAAAACATGCTAAGTATGTATGTTTAAATTCTAGGTGCAATGGTAGTCCATTAAAGAGAAAGGAAGGCAGAATTCATTATTAACTTTATAGGCAAAGAATTTTGTTTTTTTCCCTACCATAATATGAGTGCAACAGCACTGTATCCTATCAAGTTTTACATTAACATATAAGAAGAGGTAACATGTAGGATTGCTTTTATAAGAATATTTGAGACACTACCAAGCAGATAGAAAAATCTATATCAGCCACATTTGATATAATCTAAAATTTTAAGTAATAGGCATAAGGCAACTTAGACAAGTACAATTTCAGAAGTTCTGAAGAATATTTCATTCTGAAAGAATTATACAAACTGAGCGAAATCCAAAACCACGCCAAATAATGATTTCAGTTGCAGCTAAGTCGTAAATGTACATTTATGTGTAGTAACTGAGAATGCATTCAGAAGTGACATAGACTTCCTGTGAGTAAATGAAGATATTAAATTGTTTGAGTATTATAGTCACTTTTCAGTGCTTTCCTAATATAATATAGCACAGAAGAATGGCTCTGGAGAAAATTTGAGCTATTGTGTCTGAATTTTGTAGTCCTCAATGTGCTTTTTAGTATTCATGTTGTATCAAATAAAAATGAATCTGTACCTGAAACATTTTCGATAGGGGCTCATACCTAGAATTTACTGAGAATTACATCAACTAAATACCAAGGAAATAAAACTGCCAGTCAGCAAATAGGCAAATGAAGTGAACAGAGACTGTTTTAAAGACAAAAACCACAAATGGCCAATAAATATTTCAAGTCTTCAGGGTCTTTAAAATGTCATCATGTTAACACAAACTAAAATTACTTTGAAACAGTGCATCACTCCAGGCTTAGAATGGCTGTTATCAACTAACCTGACACCAAATGTTGACAGGATGTAGAGAAGAAAGAACCGCCATTAACTGTTTTATGTGTGGGGGTCTGTGAAATAATATAGCCATTGTGGGAATAAGTCTGTAGATTACTGAAAAAAATTGAAGATGGAACTAATTCATGACCCAGGATTGTCACTCCTGAGAAGACAACCAGAGAACTGCATACCCCAACGTAGAGATATTTACACCCCAGATACATTGCTCCATTATTCATCATAGCAAAGTTATGTAATCAAGTAAACTGTCTAACAAAAGACGAATGTACAATGAAATGGTATACATATAAAAAGGAATACTATGCAGCAGAAGAAAAAAATGTAATAAAATTTGTAGGAAGATGGAAGGATTTAAAATATGCAATATTAAGTGAAGTCACACAGTGGTAGAAAGAAGAAACCATGTTTTCCCTTGTCTGCAGAATCTAGTCAATCACATGTGTATATGAAAACAATGTACAAGTGGGCACAGCAGGAAATGAGGAAAGAGAACAAGACAGGTTAAATATCAGGGTTGAGGTAGGACTCAATGCAGGTAATGAACACAAGTTTTGAAAAAGGAGATGAAGCTAAGAGCTTTTCTAGTTCTAATTTCATCAGATTTTCTTTTTCGTAGTAGACAAGTTCAGAAAAATATATTTGATACTGAAAATATAAAATCCCATGTGAGGCTCAAGAGCTTCTGTTCCCAACTACTACTCTAACTACATGAAAGTACATCAGGATGTGTACTCTGTAGATCTGGTTATTTTCAGTGAGTGATTTTGTTTTTGTTTGTTTGTATATTTTCTATAATAAAATTTAAAAAATAATCAGAACCAGAAAATTATGGGTTTGCAATGTCTGAATATACAACATTACTAGAAAAGGAGTGGACATGACCACTGACCTGGGACATGTTTACTGGAGAGCCAGCCATTTCTTTCTGTTTCTCTTCTTTAAGTTTCTCTTTCAGGAGCAATGAATAGATGGCTTGTTGGCCTTTTATATAAGGGATCAAAAAAAAAAAAAAAGTCAATACTGAAAGGATGTCAAACCACATGAAAAGACTCAAGCAACAGAATATACCAGGTATCTGGCCAGTGATTCCCAAAGTCAGAAGATCATGCAACAACATTTTAGGATTGGAGAAAAAAAAAATCACTACCAAACATATTATTGCATCCAAAAAATCCTATATTAAAACTGATGGAGATGTAAGTGCAGTTCAAGGTATTTTTGAAGTAAAACAATTCATTTCAACAAAGCTGGACAGAAGACAACACATCAAAAGCAAAATATATAAAGGAAAAAAATCAGAGGAATTATCCCAAAGAAAATGGGAAATAATAAATTTCATTTGAAGAATAGATAAATATAGGAACTGGGAAGTAATAAACCATGGGAAAAACAGCAAACCACTAATTCCCATAGAGAAAGAAGAGGAATACTGTGGATAATTAAACCAACAACATCAAAAGCAAAACCATAGGGATTAAAAGCCCTATCAAAAAGAAAATCTAGCCACTCTCAAAGTCAGTATAAAAAATCCTCAGTTAAGCAAATATAGCATATGGCCCAGATGTTCCACTCCTTGGCAAATGCTCAAAGGATTAAACATCCTACTTCACACTTGCTCAGTCATGTTCACAGCTGCTCTACTCACAATAGCTACAAAAGGTAAACAACCTTAATGTCCTTCAACTAACAAATGGATAGTGAAAGTGTGGTACACATACACTATGGAATACAATTCAGCTGTAAAGAAAATTGAAACCACGAGCTTTGCAGGTAAATGGATGAACCCAGAAAAAATCATTCTGAGTGAGGTAATCCAGATCCAGAAAGACAGACAATGGTTGTTCTCTCTCCTAGGAAGTTCCTAGCTTCAAATCCCCAGATGTGAGTCCTCAACCTGGAGTGACTGTAGTAACCAGGAAAGTAGAAGGAGAGCACCGTGGGGTGTGGGTGGGTGGGTGTGAGTGGGTGGGTAATAGAGAGTTTATGTTGACACAAATTCCCTGGGTACACAGCACTCAGAAAAAATGTTGTAATGCTTGAGTTACACCACTGCGGTTCCAGATCAGACTAATGCAATAGCGCAGCAGATCCAGAACCTGCCTAATAGCAATGACCAGGGGAATGTCAGCAAAATTACACAAATACGTGTTGTAGACTGGATAGTCTCTTCAAACAGTGGTATTGGGAAAAGTATCCACATAGAAAAACATGAACCTAGGTTCAAATTTCTCCTACACAGAATGAATCAGAGATTTTCATATATGGTCTGAAACAGTGAATCCTGCATAGTAACACAAAGGGGTAACACTTGATACAACAGTAGGAACTGACAAACAGTACTGTGTAAAATAAAAAAAAATCATGGAAATCAATTAAAAGTATGAAGAGACACCCTACAAAGCAGATACATTGATTGGCTATCTATTTATAGTACAATGGATCAAAAGCCAGAATCTATAAAAAAAAAATTCAAAGGGAACAAATAATAACATACGCAATAAATAAGCAAATGAATTGAATAAACTGGGCTTAACAGCAATTCTAATGGTCAATATGTACATAAAAATAATAAAGTATAGGTCTTAACTAATACAAACGTAATATACAAAGATTCCAAATCTGATGTGGGAGTGTCATATATCAATCTGTTGATTTCATTGGTTAAGTAATAAACAAACTGCTTGGGCTCATAGCTTCGAACATAGGTGGGTGGAGTAAACAGAACAGAATGCTGGGAGGAAGAGGAAGTGAGCTCAGAGACGCCATGCTCCCGGCTCCTGGGCAGACACACATGATGAAGCTCCGACCCAGGATGGACGTAGGCTAGAATCTTCCCGGTAAGCGCACCTAGCTGTGCTACATAGAATATTAGAAATGGGCTAGTCCAGGTGCGAGAGTTAGCCTAGAAGAGGCTAGATAGAAATGGGCCAAGCAGTGATTAAAAGAATACAATGTCCATGTAATTATTTCGGGGCATAAGCTAGCTGTGCGGGCGGCGGGGTGCTGGGGACGCAGCCCCGCCGCTCTTATTACTACACAAATCTGCCTAGTCAGTGTCCACATTCAACTTCCTAAACAATAACAAATGCATCTCTCTCAGTAATTTTTTAAAATGTAAATAGATAACATTTTTTTATCTAAGCAAAAGATATAAATACATAATTTAAGGAATGAAAAATGAGAGCTGACATTAAAATATGTACTTTTATGAGAAAAAGTCATTGCATATCTAAAGATGGAAAGTATTGAGAAAGAATGAATTTTTTATAATGCTATGACTATGGACAGCAGCAGACTTCCGATAATTACAATAGTGACAGAAAGATCAACACAAAAGTATCAAAATACAGACTAAAGAGTGACAGCAAATGATAAAACGGTCCATTAGATAGAAAGTCTTTGACCAACAAGAAGGGTACATGTGACAAACCTGGAAACGCAGATATCCGCAGCAGACAGAAAACACGAGAATACATAAAGCATGTTAAACTTGACACAAGCCTCACGTTCTTTGCAAACACAAGACAACCTAGAGGGAGGTCTGTCTTCCCTAAGGCTCCAAGCAATTCCTACCTGAATCCCATTAGCCTGTTTTACAGAGAGTAATCCTTAAAGTACCAAGGAACAACAGAGGCAGAAAATACTAAGAGGATCAAACTTAGAGGTGATCTCTCAGTATATTAAAATTACAGCAATGGAAACCACAAGGAATTGTCATGACCATGGACACCAGGCGATCACCATGGGGAGACAGTACAGATGGAGTGGCAGCCTGTAAATATACTTTCTGATTTCTTATAAAACTATGCTGGTATTATTTTCAGAAATAATGGTGACATTAACACTAAAAAGCAGAGAATGTGCTAGAATATCAAAAGCTTCAAGATTGTGAATGCAATAAATAAGCCTAGAGGTATTAATGTGATCATTTTATAATACACTAAATTCATAGAAATGAAAACCAATTAATATGGAATGATGACAAGATCAGTGATATGAACAAATAAGAAGAGTATCCCTCACAATTCATTGATGTAGGATTCCCCTCTTTATCCTATGAGTATGTTTTCTTACCACCGGTTAATAAAGAAGCTACTTCAGCCTACAACAGGGCAGACTATAACCAGGATGGAAGAGATAGACATAGAGAGAGAATAGGTGGAGTCAAGGAGACACCATGTAGGTACCAAAGGAGAAAGACACCAGCCACCAGCTTGAACCTTACCAGTAGGCCACATCCTTACAATGATACACAGATTAATAGAAATGGGTTAATTTAAGATGTAAGAGTTAGCAAGAAATATGCCTAAGCTAGTGACCAAACAGTGTTGTAATTAATATAGTTTCTGTGTTATTATTTGAGTCTGGGCAGCCAGGAAACAAACAAGCAGTCTCATTCTACAATGCATAGTCAAATAAAATTTATTTGACTCCTAGTATCAATTCTTCTGTAGAACCTGTTTTCAAACCTACTACAGGATAATTCTGTGATCTTTCTTCATGGAAGTCTCCAGAATATTTCTAGTGAAACAGAATGTAGGAAAACTGATTTCAAGTCCTGCTTCCACAGTCACTTGAACCCTTTGCCATCCCTTCTGCAATCCCTCCAAATACCTGGATACTTAGCTACTGTCTCCTCCCTCTCCATCTTCCAGGCCTCTTTGTTCTGCAGCACAGTGAGCAGGTCTGGGTGATCAGTTGACCCTGCACATGAGAAAGAGACTCTTCAGGAAGCACCTGGATTTCTAACACAGTACTGCGCTCAGTGGATGAGGAGAAAACTAAATACAGGATTATACAAGTGATTCCCCAATTGTCATCAATGTCAGAATGCTGAAAATATTTAGAAAATGTTTTCAGTTAGTGTAACTTGAATGCCACTTCCAATAACAGCTCAGTCAAAACTCAGGTGCAGAAACAACACTGAATTATTGGGACAAGAATATTATACACTAGTGACATCCTGAATTTACCATAGCCCCAATTTGATAGAAGCCTTAGATCTCTCAAAGGGTCACAAACGTGCAGGGTAATTTGCCAAGACACCCTGAGGAGGAGCAAGGGAGTCTGAAGCAATGCAGTTTCACCCACAGAAACCAGATCACTGCAATTCTGTAACATCCAGTGTCTGTACAAAGCCCTCTGAGCAGGGTCCAGGCATGGCCCCTCCTCCTGGAGAAGTCCACTGTCACACTACTGGCTGTCAACAGACCACAGAATAAAAAAACCAACAGTTTCAGTAATAGTTGTGTTGGTGCACACCTTTAGTCCTAGCACCTGAGAGAAACAAGTGGGTGGAATTCTATGAGTTCCAAAACAGCCTGGTCTACCTGGTAAGTTTGGAGGCAGACAGAGCAATGCAGTGAGTTCATATGTCAAAATGAAGCAAATTCAAGAAACAAAAAATAAGTTTGATCATGCATCCATGTACTGAGTGATTTTCTTGAGGTAAGGAGACAAAAGGCTATTCAAGCTATTTTTTTTCTGATGTAGATGAGTTATTGTAATTATTCAAAAGATGCTTCCTAAGATTATTTTATACTATAACACCTTTTCATTCCTTTTTTCGTTTTTCTCCCCCGAGACACATTTCCCTGTGTAGAGCAGGCTGTCCTAATACTTGCTCTGTAGACCAGGCTGGCAAGGAACTCCCAGATCACTTGTGTATGCCTCCCAAATGCTGGCAGTGAAGGCGTGGCCAGCACCACCAGGTAGCTTATAATACCTTTTGTAACTGTGAAAATACTGTGACCAAATATTATAGAAAGCATACTGCGTTTTTCCCATCTTTAAGCTCCACATAACTCAGCAGAAAAATACACATTTTTTTTTCTTTTCTCTTCTTTCCTTTTTTGAGACAGGGTCTCCCCCATGAAGCTGTGACTGTCCTGGAACTCATTAGGTAGACCAGACTAGCCTCAAAATTGTTGAGACCCAGCTAGTCTGCCTCCCCTGTGGTGGGATTAAAGGTGTGTGCCACCAAGTCTGCCAAAGACACTTTTTAAAAATGCTCTATTTACATTACAAAGAATATACGTGTCATATGAAAATTTAAAGGCAAATAAAGTTTACTTTTAAACGTTAATGTTTACAACCATACCTATGGAGCTCGCAAAAAAAAATACTTTCGGATTCAATTAAATTTGCGGGCGTTCATTTCATGACTAATATATAAAAGAGCTCTAGAAATGCAAAATCCCTAGTTCTGTGTGCCATTCTCCTGAATAGCGAAGTGGTGTAACAACAAAGTTGGCGTAGATGAACGTAAATTTGAAGAGCTTTGTTCTGTTCACCACAGCACAGAGAACTGTATTTACAAACATCAACACACAAACTCAAATATTCTAATAGGCTATTTTTATGAGAATATTTTAGCAATCAGAAGGTCAATGAAAAAAAAAACCTGTCAGGATTGGTTCAAGTCATATTATCTAAAATGTACCGACGAGGGCCAGAAATCCACAGTAGAATTTCAGAGCCAATTTCCTTAAGAGCAGCGGAGAAACAGCTCTGGTCCCTTCCCTCCTGGGTCCCAGCCCCGCAGCTCCTCTGACCTGGGAGGTTCCAGGGCCACCCGGCTGCGGTTCCCCCATTGCTGACTTTCCCAGGCCGCCCGCCGTGGAGACGGCGGCTCCGGGGAGTTTTCGCGTCCCCGCGACACCCACCGCGTCCTCGTTCCCAGGTCTGCACAACACGGATTCCCCACCGTGCAGGTCCCCGACAGGGAATAGTACCCGTCCCTTCTGTCTTTTGCCCCTCCGAACAACTTACCGGCCTCAGCAATCCTCCTCCCCAGCTTTAAACCCCTCCTCTAACCCCGCTCAGCGTGCACTTCCTCTACACCTGACCAGTGGCAAATGACTTTCTCTACACGCTATTTCCGGTTGAGTGTCTCCTCCCTAGTGAGACCCAGCGCTCTTCCTGCCCTTCCTGCGTCTCAGGCTTCCATCCCCACAGCTCCAGCTGTCAGGTTGCCCTGGACCCGCTCTGCACGGCCTCCCCTCATGCTCGCTGCCAGCCTAGAGCAGATCTGGATCTAGGAGGACGCTGCATCCCTGTATCAGACCCGACAGTGAGTTCAGAACCCTTCAGATAAAAGACAGGCAGCCTAACCTCTACGTGACTACCAGACTCCCGGGTTACCTACTTACACAAACGATAGTAGGTTAAATTCAGATGCCACCGTCCATCGCTAACACAAACATGAGAAGCCAAAACCAAATACTGCAATTTTGCTTTGCGGAGAGACATTTCAGGAACTTGGATTTTGAGAAGAAAAAGGGGGGGGGGGGGGGGCGTGTCATTGTCACCCCATTGCTAACAGCCCAGAGATGAGTTCATCCAGCGCTGTAAAGTTCTCACCACTAGATGGTGGTCTTGTCTTTTTCCTCACTCAGAAACAAGTTTGTCTTCTGTGACTCATGTTAAAGGTGTTTTTTAGGTAAAATATAAAATGTTATAAATATGCAACGGGGAATGCAGAGATTCTTGCTGTCCCAGATGCAGAAAATAAGGAAGGTATTTGGTACCAATCCTACAAAAATCAGTGGCTCTGGGGACACTGAGGAAGAGGAGGAGGAAAGGGAATAAGCGAGGAAAAAGGAGAAAGGACTAAGACATGCCATGCTATAGACTTGAAACAGCTGTTGTAATCAGTAACCCATAGCAGCTGTACTTACTTGCATTGACCTCACATTAGACCACCATCAGTCTAGGAAAGGGAAAGGCTCATAGTGCCCACTCTTTACCTCTCAAATGTTGGCTATGAATGAATTGTGGAAGAATCACTGCCTTTAGCTCTAGTCCTCTGCTGAGCCCAGCAGGCTCCAATAGTAACTCCAAATCCACCGTCCACAGTTTTGCAGATGGGCCGGGTTAATCTAAGGGAATCCCAAAGGAAAATGAATAGAGGGGAACATAATAGAGATGTGTTGGAATTGTGGACCAGGATAGAGATAGGAGAGAGAGCAGTAGAGAGATAGGAGGTGAGGACAGGCAGGATTTGAGGTGCTCACGCACAAACACACACAGGCTGTGAGTATATGTATACATCTGTGGGTAAATGTGAAATAGCTAATAATAAATTTTATTTTTTGGTTTCTTCTTTTTCTTTTTTTTTGTAACAGGGTTTCTCTGTGTAATCCTGGAAGTCCTGGAACTACTTTTTAAAGTGTAAACTAAGGTGCCCTTCACTTCCCAGAGATCAGTCAGCCTCTTCATCGGGAGTGCTGAGATTAAAGGCATTTGTCATCTTCCTGAGCTCAGAAATGTGTTTAAAGGATTGTATCAGTTTATGGTTTCTTTTTGGTTGTCTCATCTTTTTGGTTCTATCTATCTATCTATCTATCTATCTATCTATCTATCTAATCTATCTATTGTTTGTTTGTTCAAGACAGATTTTTCTCTTTGTAATAGCTCTGACTTGCCTGGAATTCACTTTGAAGACCAGGGCAGCCTTGAACTCACTGAGATTCACCTAACTCTGCCTCTAGAATCTGGCATGCGCTACCATGCTCACCTCATTATCTGGTGTAATATCAAGCAATACTAAAAGTCAAGAACTTTTCCTTTTTTGTGTGTCAAGAAGTATTTTAAGAAGCCGTTTTGGTTGGTTACTATCTGCAGTTCTGGTAGAATCCTGTCAGTGTGGTCATGGGGTTGTTTTAAAGGTGACATTTTATAACTGCTTTAGTTTGAGTTCTGTTTACATTACTTATTTCATGTAGTTCAAATTTGGTACGTTATATTCACCTGGTATGTTATATTCATTTATGTCAATTAGAGTTTCCAATTTAGTGTAACAGAAGTCTTTAAGTTCAGTAAACAAGAGATCTTGTTGGTCACACATTTCTGTCAAGTAGACTGTGCAGTTATCCTGGGCAATTGTCAAAGTATACCAGGACGGGCAGTAGTGACACACACTTTTAACCCCAGCACTCACGAGGTAGAAGGCAAGCATATCTCTGCAAGTTCCAGGAGCCTGAGTTCCAGGTCAGCAAAGGCTACACCGCAAAAGCCTCTCTCAAAAAACAAACAAAAAAGTTTGATAACAAAAAGTTACATATAGTTCAGCAAGGTCATGCAAACCTTTTAACCCAGCACTTGGGAGTCACGGGCAAGGGGAACTCTGAGTTCAAGACCATCCAGCTCTACATAGTGAGATTTCAACATCTGGAGGAACACAGAGACATTGCCTCAAGATAATGTAAATTGGTCCCTGAAGAATAGCTTTCATGGTAATCAAAATACCATACAATCTTCCAAAATAGGGAGTCAACCAACAGTCCTAGGCAGCTATGATGCCTATGAAACACATCAATCATCATTCTGGCACAATAGCCCTAAGGATGCAGTAGTGGCAAGCATACCTTGGTGGAAGTAAGCATCTCTTTCACTGGATTTAAGACCCTCTTAACAAAACTTCAGACACCATGGTTGATTGGTAGTGGAAATCCAGCTTCCTTCTGGTGCTGGTGAAGACATGAATCTTGGAGGAAAACAAACAACTGCCATTTTACTAAGCCATCATAATCCCTAACAAACAGCTAAATATTTTTCCTTGTGCCCACAGCTAAGCTTAGTCTTAATACTTCATCAAGGAAACTTCTCTCTCTCTCTCTCTCTCTCTCTCTCTCTCTCAGAATTTCTCTGTGTAGCTTTGGAGTCTGTCCTGAAACTTGATCTGTACACCAGGCTGTTTATGAACTCACAGAAATTGCCCTGCCTCTGCTTCCCAAATGCTGGGATTAAAGGCCATGCACCATCACCCACTGGGAAACTTCTCATTACAACAGAGACCACTGCAAATATCCACAACTAACCAAAATGTAGAGTTGTGGAGATAAGGCCTGCTGGATATATCTGTAAAACACTCTTGAACCTAAGGCTCAAGCATCATTTTTGAAGAGAGGGTGTATAAAGAGGCAGAGGACCGGGGATTTTGTTGTGAGATTGTGTATCTTAGTGTATTTGTTGAGGTTCTCTAGAGTAATAGAACTGATAGAATGAATTTATATATTCTTATATATAATGGGGATTTACTGGATTGATTTTAAGTTTGCTGTCCAGGTAATCCAACAAGGGCGAGATGTGACTATACAGTCCACAAATTTAGTAGTACTTAGTGCACAAGGCTGAATATCTCAGCTGGTCTTCAGTATATGCTGGAATTTCCAAAGAAGTAGGCTCCAATGCCAGTGAAGGAATTGATGTGCTAGGAATAAAATGAGATAACAAACAGACAATGAGCAAAATGATTGTAATTTCCAGGTCCTTATATAGGCTTCCAACAGAAGTGGCCCAGATTAAAAGTGTATCTTCCAACCTCTCTATCCTGATCAAAGCTGTGTGTCCTTCAACCTGAAGATGTGGAAGTTGCTTACTTCTTGTTTACTTAAGTAATATCCTTCTGGAGTCTTTGATAGAGTAGAAGAATAGATAGATGGTTATAGTTTTCCAATGTTATGATAAAATAGATCTAAATATTATAACTGTAATTCTTGCTTGATAACTCTTTTGTTATATGTAATTGTACTATGTTAAAGTTAAAGCCTTCTTTTTTGTTTAAACAGAAAAAGGGGAAATGGTGTAGGAGGGTCTTCTGTCTAGGTGTTACTTTCATTGGTTAAATAAAGAGACTGCCTTGGTCTTTTGATAGGCCAGCCCTTAGGTGGGTGGACTAAACAGAATAGAATGCTGGGAGGAAGAAGGCAGTGTGGCAGATGCCATGGCTCTCCTCTCCAAGACGGACGCTGATTAGATTCATGCCGGTAAGCCACAGTCAAGTGACAATACACATTAATAGAAATGGGTTAATTAAGATGTGAGAGTTAGCCAATATGAGGCTAAAAATAATGGGCCTGGCAGTGTTTAAATAAATACAATTTGTGTGTGGTTATTTCGGGTATAAACTAGCTGGACAGGATGGAACAAGGGGACCACACTCCTTTTACAACAGCTAAAGCCTGACCAAGTAAGTGTGGGCTGTCCCGGAATTTCTGGGGAAGGACAGTCCAGGTGAGCTGTGTGGAGAGATGAGTGTCAGTGTCAGTCCAGGTGAAGTCAAAGATATTTTGAGATTGAGAGCTGAGAGGAAAGAGAAAAAAGCATTCTTGAGATCTAAAACTGAGAAGTGGGAGGTTCCTGGAGGGATAGTGGAAAGAAGTGTGTAAAGGTTAGGCACTAAGGATGAAGAGGTGGAGTAGGAGGGCCTTCTGTCTATATGTTATTTTCATTGGTCAAATAAAGAAACTGTCTTGGCCCTTTGATAGGACAGCAGCTTAAATAGGCAGAGTAGACTGAACAGAATGCTGGGAGAAAGAAAGCAGTGTCAGGTAGATGCCATGCTTCTCCTACCCAAGACAAACGGTGGTTAGACTCATGCCAGTAAGCCACAGTCAAGTGGTGATACACATTAATAGAAATGGGTTAATCAAGATGTGAGTTAGCCAGTAAGAGGCTAGAGCTAATGAGTCAGGAAGTGTTTAAATGATTACAATTTGTGTGTTGTTATTTTGGGTGTAAATCTAACTGGGCAGGAGCTGGGTGGGACAAAAAGCAGACCTGCCCACAGCTCCTTTTACAAAGAGGGACCACTGCAAAGTTAATGAGCTGGAGGCCTTGAACCAGGCAACAGGTTCCATTAGGTTTTTTAACAGCAGTATAGGAGCGTTAAATGAAGAAGAGGTGGGACGAAGGAGCTTTTTTCTTAGAAGGTGAGAGATAATAGGCTTAAGTCCCCTAAGGCTCTGGAAAGAGGGGGTACTGAGCTTGGGTAATGTACTTAGTAGAATCTTGTAATT